GTACCGGACCTGCAGCTGGGGCCAGGCGTGTGACATGCTGCGGCTGAGGTTGCATACGCATTAAGTGGTTGCACATGCATGCACGTGTTGGTTGAATCACAGCCACAGCTGGGGCTGTGTTAAAAAGTGCATTAAATGCACACTGAGCATCTTGCACCCCTGGCTGATCCCATCCTGCTGCACAGCGTGATTGGAGAGCAAAACTCGAGCGGTGCAGGCTGGCCTTTGGTCTGCTCAGCAGGTGCAGAATGGAACCTGCAGTGTAAACCTGGGCTAGGTGAGGTGGAGATGCAGGGAGCCTTAAGCTTTAACAACACATCTGTAGCCTGGGAAGACCTAGAGGATCTGGTGGGCTGCTTGTCGCTGTTCACGCTGGGTTGCGGTGGGAGTAAGGGTGCCCGAGGCTTGGCACTTGCACTGAGCTGCAAACAAACGCAGCAGGGAAGCTGTGAAGCTCCTGCAACCCCTTGGATGGAGGCCCTGGGCAAGGAAGGAGTTTTAGAGCAATGTCACCTAGTACCTGGATCAGGTACTGGGGTGGCATGAAGTCAGATCTTTTCCTTTCCTGCAGCCCAACGGTATTTCTGTGGGATGCTCCCAAGGGCTGGTGTCTATTACTTCCCATGGGAGATCAACAGCTCAGTCCCAGAGGGAGAGGCGCTGAGGACGTTTGGCAGGTGAGAAGGGTACCCCGGTCTCCTTGCAAGGCCAGGCTTTTCCATCACCAGTGAGCTGCTGCTCCCTTTCTCTGTAATGGTTGTATCTCTGCACCGCTGAGCTTCCCAAATCATTTGCTCCCAGGTTATGCTGTTATGACCTGGCCCGGTCCGAAGCCATTCTCACCACTCAGCACAACTCAGCCCAGTACCAGGTCTGTGTCAACACCAAGTTTGTGGAGCCGTTCCAAGCCCAGCTGGGAGCTCACTACATGGTCCTGGGAGAGGCCGAACACAGGGAAGGTAAATGCTTCAGGTTTCAGTACCCTTTTGCTTTTCATGGTTCGGCAGCTCCTTCACAGCTCCCTGGGGGAACAGTGAGACACCCCATCACAGAGGTTAACGTTGGCCAAGGCAGGCTCACCTCGTATGGCTCCCCCCAGTCACATGAGCGTGTGATTCAGGGCAGGAGCAGCCCATCTCTCCCTGTTGACCCTGGTGAAAATCTGGTGCTCTGGCACAGATTTCGTTAGAAACAAGAAGCATCTCAACAGCATCACTGAGCTTGTGAAAGCTGTGCTAAATCCTTCTGGCATCATTGCCATCATCTTCACTACAAATGTGGCTGGTTGCAGCAATAACCTCATTGTGAACTGGCTGGGTTGGTCTTTGCCATCCTTGAAAGTCTCTAATTATATCCCTGCCCTCAGACACAGGGTGTGAGGAATGCAGGCAGGCTCTGTCACACAGGGCACCGTTGTCCTTTCCTGGGGTGCCCTGAGTGTTACTCCAGCTGCACAGTGCTTTGCGTGGGAGCTGATCTGGGCTGGGCCGTGGGGTTGTGAAGCAAATCCCAAGTGTTGTCTCGGCCACACCTGATAGCGAGCATTTGCATTCATGCCATTGAAATCCTTGGTGGCATGTGGAAAGCCACCTGCACGTGGCATCTGATAAGTGACCTACTAAGCTACTGCTGCCAAATTCTTTTAGAGAAACATGTTATTTTGGTCATCACAGCTCAGGAGTGAGTTGGCCCCATTTTGCAGGGGTGGGACGGGAGCTGAGATGTCAGCTGTGTCACCAAGGTTTGTCCCCTTTTGTGCAGCTCCATGTTACGATTTGAATGCCACTGATGACCTGTTGGTTATAGACAGCATCGAGCCTATTCTGAGCCCAGCTTTGTTCTGTCCTCCTCTTGTCTGCATAGAGATGTTCAGAAATTGGCTTAGACCCATCCCTGACACTTTTTAGACAGGGAAAACCAAACTTACTCCAGCCACAAAGCAGACAGATGCTGCCTGGCAGGCACTGACACCGAGATGTCCGGGGCTTGGTGTTGACCAGCGAAAGAAGAGCTCAGTGTCAGTCACCAGCATTTTGTAGCCAACTGGGCAGAGGGAAAGCGTGTCACAGAATTAACCTCCTCCTGGGTCTGCTGCTCACGTCAGTGGAGGCACGTGACCGGTCTGGTCTCCTGCAAGCTCTCAGGCCATGGTTATTTGGACAGCTGGAGCCTTATGCTGCCTGAGGGAACCTGTTTGCCTCTGAGCTGCTCCGCCTGGTTTTCTTTCTACAGAAACTCCCTGTTTATATTCCCAGGTGAGGGTCTCGTGGTAAAGGCGCGAATATTGACCTGCGTGGAAGGCATGAATGTGCCCTTGCTGGAACAGGCCATACAGGACCAGAGGAAATACTTCAACGAGAGGCAGGAGCGGATGGGAAACAGCACATCCTGACAGCAGCTCTGAGACCAGCCGTGTGCTGGTCCTTGCACTGCCATTTGCAACAAATACATTAAAAGTAAATTTAGAAGGTGGATTTGCAATGTACTGCTATTTGCCACAGCTGTGGCACAGTCACTCACGTGACTGTGAGTCAGTATGTGACAGGGGTTATCCATTCATGCCAGGTGTCATCACTGAAAATAGCTCCGGGAAGCAGGTTTGTTGTTTGTTGAAAAGGGTGGTTAAGCAAAGAGAGTGCCTGAGTTATACAGGTCCTTTTGTAATGCAAGGCTTTGAGAAAAAGGAGAGGCCTCTGAATCTCGATTCTGGAGTTAAACAGCTGCTCATACCCACACCCACTGCCGAAGCACAGAGGGTTACTGGGCAAGTCAGAGGTAAAGGGCATTAGTGCAAAGTTCGTTAGCCCTGTGTGGCTGCGAGTCCATGAGTACATGCGTTTGGTCACCATGACTCAGCTGTCACACAGGAACATTACCAGCAGAACGCTCACATATTTAGGCTGACCAACAAAGAAACCAGAAGAACAAAGCGTTACTATTTTCAGTAGCACCTGGTTTTTGGGTTTTCAAGAGTTGGTGTCCAAGGGGGGGTGATTGACTTTAGCTACAATAAACATTTGCAGTGGGAACCACGACTTTTTTCCTTCACACAAATAAGTTTAGTAGAACTTAAATGACTATTCTTTTTAAGCATCTAAAGGTTTTGATTGATGTTTTCGTAAATAAAGATGAAAAGATAAGGCAGCCTGTGTTTCATTGATTAAAAACCTCTTTCTTTCTAAGGCAAGTGGGTTAGGCACTGCAGGAACCCCATGGCTGATGTAAGAAAATTTAGTGACGTGCCGTTTTCCTCCTTCTCCTAAGTACTGGGTGTATAAGGAAGTGCTTAGCTTTGAAAAAGTTGCAAGAAGAGATGAAGTTACATCAGAGCCGCTCTTGTTTGAGAACATGGTGCCAGGCCTGCCTAGCAGAATTAAACCACAAACAAAAGGACAGAAAATCACTAATGTAAGATGAGAATAAAATGTTGGTGCAAGAGAGAGGACTCTGTGCTATCGGAATCCCCAGGCCTGGCGTGAGCTGTAGTTTCCAGGTGAATTCAGCCACCTGCAGCCTTTTCTGCTTTTTGCTCAAATTCTCTGGTGAAAGGTTCAGAAAATAAGGAGTGAAGCCATACAGTGCACAGCAGAAGATCAAAGTGCAACAGGTATTGGCAAAGTCCCTTGATACCAGCAGGCGTGATTCAGGGGCCCGAGATGGCTCAGTAATTACAGTGCTTGCTATAATCCTTAATCATAGTTTATCTTATATGTTCACACAGTTATGGAGATCCAAAGGCCTTGCTTCAGCACACTCTCTGTTCAGCCCAAGTGCAAAAACGTGATCTCAAGATTTTTACCTGGTTTTGTAAGAGACAATGATGGGTCTGTCACGGTGTGTTTATGTTTACACCTCATCTCCTGTCTGTTCTACCTTCCTCCCTGTGCTTAATAAATGGCCAGGTTTGCCAGAGAGTTGGGAATATCTAAGATGCCAGGACTGGGAATATCCAAAACACCAGGTTCCTACAAGTGTTATGAAAAAAACCCCACAAACCCAACCAGCCAGGAAGAGGAGAGCAAATCTGGCCATGACTCCAGATGGAGACGTGAATGTGAACTCAACCTTCACAAGCCACCAGAGAACCCACACAGGAGTTTGCCATGTCCAGGTGAATCCCTCTTCAGCCACAGAGCAACCACATTTTAGTTTGTTCAAATTGGCAAAATCAGGATCAATTTTAAAAAGTTTTTGAGACAGTGGCTCAGCAATGGGCTAAATCGGTCCTTTTTAGGTCACCTAAAAGTTGGGGTCTGCGCTGTCCTGCTGTGCCCACCCAGAGACACAGCACCCACAAGCTCTCCAGAAGACAGTCCCTGCGGCTCTACCCTTCCTGGTGCTATGATGCATGATATCCTCTGCCAGTCAATGATTAATCCCCCCCCAAGGACACCTTCCAAAAGGCTGACCAAGCAGCGCAGCGCACAGTGGGGAGGTTCAAGGGCCAATTGCACGAGATTAAAAAAACAAAACCAAAAAACAAAGCCCAAACCCATTTCTGCTGCGTGTTTGACCTGAGCGTGCCCCAGGAGCCCCAACGACGCACCGCATCCCCTTGGCGCCAGGCGCTGCACAGACCGAGCTGCAGAGCTCCCTCAGCCCTGCGCAGTCCCCGCTGCCTTTCCCGCAGGCCCTAAGCTCCTCTTTACACCCATTTTGCTCCATTTTTTTGCTGTAGCCAACACAGTTCACAACCTTGGCCTCAAGCAAGCAGTCTCGGGCAGTTGGTGCAGGGAGTGTTTGGCTCTCCGGGTCTGCCCAAAGACCCCCAGACCCCCCTCGCCCCAGAACCCTGCCCAGCTGGCCCAGGCTGCCCTGTCCGCCTGCGGCTGCCCCACAGCGCTGGGGGAGCAGCAAGGGGAGACCCGGGACCCAAAACAGCTCAGAGGACACACCAGGAGAGCAAACACCTCCCGCGCATTTGGCTTTTTTTCCCCCCCTTCTTTTTTTCTCCTCAGAACCTGTCGCCCCTGCTGCCGTCGTGAGGCTGAGGCAGCTCCATGGATACCTTCCAGGAGGTGTTTCAGGAGGTGGAGAAGATCGGCGAGGGCACTTACGAAGATAGGCGAGGGCACTTACGGCGGCGTGTACAAGGCTCGGAACAAGCGCACAGGGCAGCTGGTGGCCCTCAAGAAGATTCGCCTGGACTCGTGAGTGAGCCCTGGGGCTGCCGTGGCCTGGCCCAGCCCGGTGCCCTCCCGGCCCTCCATGGCGCCAGGCCGGCTGCTTCCTCAGCGCAGCGGCAATAGGGTGCTGAGGCGAGAGGGGGGACGAGGAGGGAAAATGTCTCCTCGGGGGGCG